GAAAAAGAAGATATATAGTGTACATAAAATAGTCATCTTTGATTCCTAAAGCTTTTATTTGTTTTCTCTTCCACGTGGAATAATTTTCTGCTTAAAATTTATATTTAATAATTCTTCTCAATGAGCTGAAAGTTCTGAACGTTCATATGAACGAAATATTTTTTTCAATCTTTAAATTATTAAAAATTATGATGACCATGTAAAATAAAACAGTAAATTAAACAATTATTAAATTAATAACTTCTTTTTAGATATTTTAAACAATATTTTGTAATAAAATTCGTACTTAAAGAAGTAGCAAAACAAATTTCGTTCAGATGAACGTTCAAAACTTTTGGCTCATTCTTCTCACTGAAATAATGTAATAAAAAATATAATTTTTTCTTCCAATAAAAATTGGGAATTGCAAAAAAAAATACTCTCTAAATCTGAATTATAGTTCGATAACAATATATATTACAAATAAAACACACAATTTAAAGAAGATTTACAAAAGGTTTCCCCAATTGCGTCATGTATTAGAAAAAACGTTGACTGAGCACGTTTAACTATTTATTCAATTCAAGAAGCATTATTTCAAGGATTGTTTCATTTTATCGCAGTCAAACAAGCGTGAAAAAACTATTGTTCACTATTTTCAGATTAGTTTTTTTTCAAAAAATTCTATCATTATTACCTATTTTATTATTTATTATTATTATATACCTATTTAAATATTTAATTAAATATAAAAGAAAATAATTCTAATTGGTCAGAAATTCAAAAGTACCTGTTTCTTAAACTGACTTCGTTCAAGGAGTAATAATACAAGTAGGAGTAATTAATGGTTTCTCGTAACGTCAAATCGTAACACGATAACGCGTTATCCAAAGCAATTAAATGGCTTTATCGAACAGCAATTATTCACTGTTGGACCATTGTAAAAAAAGAAAATCATTGAGAAAAATTCTTATTTACAAACAAAATTAGTTCGGCTAGATTCAATACATTTTCACATTTAATTAATAAATATTAACCTTTTTTTATTGAAAATATAGGTATTTGTGACATTTAAATAGTGTTTTAATGTTAACAAAAAATTAATTTTCAAGAGTTTTGTCAGTTTTTGTAAAAGTAGTTTTAAAAAAAAGTCTTTTTAGAGAATAATTATTTTTGATAAAATTATTTTCACGTGCTTGATATTATTTTTTGAAAAGACATAATAATTTTTGTTTTTTTGCAAATTTTCAGAAAATTGACGATGCGTGGAAATGAGTTTTGAGGTTGTAAAGTAGGTTAAGCGTTAAGGGAATCGTCATATATGAACAGGGGAAATGACGTTAACGGCACATATCTGGAATTTGAGTTTGCTAACTATATATATAGATGGATTCTGATGGCATCCACATTTGAGATTAACTTGGTTGACGGAAACCAATGAGAATTTAGGTCAGGAATGGAATAACACACGTTGAGTCCATTATTATTTGGTCTCTCTCATAATTATACTGTTTATAAAAAAAGAAGAAATTCTCTTTTTTTAACTTTACATTGAAAAATCTTTTCTTTCCTTTAAAAAAAAAATTATTTGATTTAAATAATCGGTTACTTCACTATTCTTAAATAAATATTTATTTCTATTAAATAATTATTATTTGAGTCAATTAAATTGTATTTGTTTCAAGTATTGTTTATTTAATTCAAATAATAATGACAATTTTATATGAAATGACCTACAAATGAATAATAAACCATTTTCTTTTTTTGAAAGCATTTTTTTTAATTTCAAAATTGGATGCCCATAGTATAGTGTCATATAAGCTTCTTTTTGAGCCAACTTTTATCGCTCCTTGACAACTGGTATAACGTAGACTTCATGACTTTTTCTCTCGACTTTCTACGTATAAGAGAGAGAAATAAATAAAGCACAAGTGCTACGGACATGTTTCAGCAATTCTTGGGTGCAAAAAAAAAATTACGAAACGTCTCTTGGCCTCAATCCAAAGGAGATTTTTTCCCCTTTATAAACGGGGCATAGATGTTTTACGTGTAATTGAATAATTTTAGAATATACACATATTAATGATCAGATGGTTCTTTTTTAGATTCAATTTACTTTTATACACCCTCTCGCTTAAAATACATTATAGAGAGCGGGGAAAAAATAAATTAGCTTCTTTTCGAAATAAAATGTTTCTTACTGGTAAAAAAATATACAGAAAATTCTGAGAATGATTTTTTATTAATTAAAACAAAAAACCGGTATCTTTATCAAAATTGTTTTTGAAAAAACTCTTTATGGAAAAAAATTAAAATTGTAAATTAAAGTTGCCCTATATTGAAGCCAAATGAATGTCAAAGTGTTTAAAAGTAGAAATTATTATTTCAAGATAAATGATTTTCCATTGTGTAGTAGGTAATGTTCAATCAATACATATATTGATTAAATATGTGCACACAGGAAAAAATGACATAGATAGATTCTAGAATAAAAGAAATTAAAATTGATTAATCAATTTTAATTAAATTTATAATTACAATATTGTATTAAATTATGTATAATTAAATAGTTAAACATTGTTTTTCAACTAAATACAAGACTAAATATATAGTTCAAATTCTTTAAATTTTATTTTAGCCCAAATGGATTTCTGATCGCTTTAAATAAAAAGCGTAATGACCTCGAAAATATATGGAACAATCGTTTTTTTGAACTACGTTCATTACAGATGGAAAAAAATTATTTAATATTAATTTCTTTTTTATTTTATTAAATTTCTTTTGTCATGAAAAGAAAACAGATGTTTCCACATTTACTCAACTGTTTTTAAAATTTTCAGTATTGTATTCATGTATATATTTTAATGAGAATCATTATGTCATATTTTTAAAATACATATTTCGATATTAGATTTAAAAAATTATATTCTACGTTCCATTTTTTAAATTTCTTATGTAATTTTATAAAAATTGTGGCCAAATAATTTTTTCCAATTTGTGTTGATTTTAATTATTTTAATAAAAATGAAATAAGAATTTTTTTTTCTTTAAGTGCAGTTGAGGAAATGTTTTTATTAGCGGATAAAGTAAGGCGTGATTGCATGCAGTTATTTCAATTTTCTGTGAATTCCCGAAGAAGCAAGTTTTAACGAGCTGTATATAGTATGCTTGTGAAGCACGTTTATATTATAAGCGATAGTAAAAGGCTTTTTTTCAATTTTAAAAAAACAGACGTTTAATGAATTTAATTACTTGCGGTACATATTTGTCACAAAAAATGTTAATATTTGATAATTAAATGTAAACAAATTTGTTTTTGTCTCTGTGTACTAAACTAACTTTATTTCTGCAAGTAGCGGAGATCAATTTTCTATCGGACATTTCGTGTCTGACTATTGCAGGATTTACTACTTAGAATAATAAAATAATTTAAAAAATTTATAATTTTTACTATAAAGGTTTAAAAAATATTTTATTTTTAATTAATTAATTTTTAAATTAATAAAATTTGGTTAGTTTATGAAAATTACAAACCAAATATATATTTTTTTAATTAATTCATTTAATATTTGCTTTACTTAATCGCGAGATTTCTCAAGTCTACGAATTTTTAAGGTTTCAATTGAAGAATCGTATTTAAAAATCATATTACTTTTGTTTTGTAAACTTTCACGGCTTTGTAATTTAATTATAAACGATCGATTTACAAAAACAAATAGTTTTTATTTTATTTTTTTTTATTAACCAAACTTATTTGGATTTAATTTTCGGTTTGTCTTTATTTTATTTTTTAATCTCTTTTACGAATTTATTAATTTAATTATTAAAAATGATTGTTTTTCATTTTTTTTTTAAATTTTATCACTTGCCATTTTTTTTCTTAAGGCAACAATTGGGGATCAATCACAAAAAATTTGGGTAAAAAAATTTTTTGTTTCAATTTTTTTAATATAAATTTTCGAATTTGTAAAATTAACATTTGGCACTGATAAAAAAATGAACTACATCACGAACGAACTTGTCTAGCCGACGAGTTTCAAAGTTGCGAGCGAACTGTTGGTCCACGTGTTATAGGGTCGTGTGATTCAACGGATAAAACAGAAACTGAGTATTGTAACTGGAGCCATCGCTCGGCAAGTGATTCAAACTTGTCGACAAATTCTGATCAATTTTCCTTTCGAGAATTTGAGGTTGTTAATTTCTAACTGAGGAAAATTGTCGGCAAGGCAGAATTTTTCATTGGAAAATGAAATAGATGACAGGGTTACCGACTTCCGGAAATATGGGAGGCGTACCGACAAAATAAATTTCCATTGAAGTGTAGAAATTCGCGGAAAAATCACTAGAGGGTTAAAAAAAATTTCCAATTTGCGCATGCACACATGAGTTTTTTTTTTTTTTTTTTTTTTTTTTTGAAAGAAAATAATGATTCATTTAATTAAATAATCGAAAAAAGGGAGGGATTGAAAATAAATCTATTATAATTATTTTTGCTAATTTTTTAGTTTTGTAAAAAAGTTGTAAATTTTGAATATTTCCTTTTATACAATTAGAAAAATTATCAATGTGAAAAAACAATGAAATTTTCTTCTTTTCTTTTACACAATATATCATTCTTTCTGTATGGGATATTTTAATTAATTTCATTCGATATGGAACTTACAATAGAATTTTTTTTTAACTGGTCTAATTTTTTTTCATTTCTAAATTAAATTTGTCCATTATTAATTATCTTTTTGGTTACAAAGAAAACAATGTAACGAGTGCATTTTTTCAGTTACTGTAATTTAATTAATTTTATTTTTTCATTTATAAAGTTTTCTTTTTTTTTTAAAATTAAACAAGTATACCATACAATTTTTTTTTGTTCTAAAAGTAAAAGTAGCATGTTTTATGAATTAACTAATCAATTTTGTTAAGTAAATCGTTAATTAATTGCAGTAGCTAATTAATTAACGAAAATTAAGTAAAATATTTTAAAAATTGATTTTTATAATAATTATATAGTAAATTAATTTTACCTTGTTGAGAGTTTCATGACTTGCAACAATGTGTTGAGTGGTGTCAGTGTGAATAACCCTGTCGACAGAATTCGGTCTCGAGATGCCATCAACTTGAGATGAATCTTTTAAGATAGAAGGTGAAGAAGGAACTGGTTCTTCAATACCACCGTGCTTTATTTTCTGCAAAAATAAATTCCAATTTTATATGAAAAAAAAAATTATTAAAAATATTATTAAATAGGCGCCAAAAAAATATTCTTTTTAAAATTACATTTTTTTCGTAAAGAGATCTTTTTTAGAAAAAAAAAATTGTGTATTTTTCTTGCATAATGGGAATTTGTCCGCATGATATTTCTCTACGTGAAAAAACAAATCTAAAGACAATTTAAAAAGTTGTATGCTAAAGCACAACTCGTAACTTTAAAAGTGATGAGTTCATCACCATTGGGTCTAACTTTTATAAAACGCATCTTCATATAGAGAGAAATAGGAATTAAAGAAAAATTAAATCTACCTTATAAAAAATAATTGCAACTTTGTACATTTTTCTAGACAAACAAAAAATTATTAATAATTTTTTTAAGTATAATATATACGAAACAAATAGCAATATTTTTTTTTATAAAAGAACATTTTTTGACTTAAAGAAAGTTGTTACTTTTATACTTTTATACTTTTATCATTTTATTTGTCTAATATTTTGAAATTAATATAAATAAAAATTGAAAAATAAAAGTTATTTTAAAATAGAAAAAACAAATTAGTCAAAAAAAAGTGAAAAATTTCCAGGATCAAATTATAGTTTGGTTGTTGTTTTATAAGGGAACATGAGATGACAATCGACTTCAAATGCATAGAGTTTGATCGACGGTTTTAACACCGCGGTAGGTTATATATATATATATATATATACATTTGGAGGGTTGAGGGTTAATCGTGTGAAATCCAGGATTTATCATCCCTATACTCGACTCGTCGGTCGCAACCCTCGTGGGGGATTCGGATTTGATAATATATACGTGTAGACGTACATGACAACTTCGTAAATTCCAATTGACGTACTATTAGCAATCGCTGTTCAATGCAACGTTTAGATGATAAGCTCTCAGCAAAACATATAAAACATTTTTCTCTCTCTCACTCTATTATGTTCATTCGATTTTTTTTACAATAAATATAAAAACATATTTTATATGGAACTAACAATTACTCTAGTTTTGTATTCTATTTTCCTCCGCGTATAATTTGAGGAAAAAATGAAAGGGCAGCAATTTAGGATATAAATAAATGATAAATATTAGCATAATTTCAGAGAAAAGGGTTTTTCGTGATGAATTTTTTTTTTTTTTTAATTTGTTAAAGTGAAATTTCCAGGAGAAGAGAGCAATTAAACACAGTTACAACATCAAAAGGATAAAGCTCGTGGAAACTTACATGGAACCGATAACATCACATGTGTAGAATGAGTGTGTGTGTGTGTGTGGTTGTTTCGAGTCGAGTGACGGTCATTCGTGTTATTATCCTAGCTAAAATGGTGCACCAGACGTGGCCAATAATCTTCTGCATGGCTTGATACTTCTTTGTTTTCGCACTATATATATATAGTGTATGCGTGTCCATTTAATTGATCACTAAAGCGATCACATCCTGACTTATTCAAGATTTTTTCTTCCTCACCAATTTTTTTTTAAGTTGCTCAAATTTTCGTTATTTTAGACTAAATTTTTTTTTCTAAATAGATATTATATTTTTATAGCTTTATTTTATACACGTTTATATGTATATTTTTCTTTCCCTTTTATTGTCATTATTTATTAATAAATATTGCAAGCATTGCATGTCAATATTGAGGCAACATTGTGGCCATATATTGTGCTGTTTGGGGAAGGTATATAGTGATATAAATATACTTTTAAAGAGAATTGTTACTTTGTGTAAAACAATATTTTGATTATCCTAGGTTTAACGACCATTGAGAGAGGGAGAGAGAGAGAGAGAGAGAGTTGTTGTTTAACAGAATTTGAGTCAATTAGAACAGAGCAGTAGTGGTTATTAGAGATTGTTGGAAGGTTCACTGTAGGTGCTGTGAAGTTTGACCCAACTGTAGTAACCTCGGTAGTTACACACTAATTGTTCCCATTATTTCCCTTCAAGCGTAGGCTACAGGGACGTTACATAAGACTTATTCTAGTTAAGTCTAATTATTTAACGAAAGTTAATTAATGTGATATACTTTAAATTATTTTATATATAATACAGTAGTCTAAATTTTTCATTTCATGTCAGCTCGTTAAAAAAAATTTATTTCATTCAAATAATTGGTTACTTGACTATTAGCAAATAAATATACATAAATTATAATAGAAAAATATTTATTTGTATCAAATAATTATTATTAGTTGAGTTAATTGAAAGGTAGTTTTTTCAAAACAGAAATTGTTAATCAATGCACATATTTATTTGATAACAGACAAGTGTAGCCGATTATTTGAATGAAATATATTTTTTTCAGAATATAAATTGATATATTATTTAATTGAAGAAACATGAAATTATATAATATAAAGGTCGCATTAATATAGAGAATAGTTTGATCCAATTCAATTTTCATGTCATAAACGCATTTATGGTTTTGCCTTGGGCAAAAGAGAGGTGAACAATTGCATCCGCACGTTTTGATGAATTCTCTCCGCGAATTTGTTGAATTTTCTCTGCATATATCATAGTGCAATTAAATTGATAAAACCCTCTGTATATGTATGTGTGTTAATTTTCAAAAATCCTTTTTAATAAGGCACACAAAGTGCTGCTGCAAATAAAAAATATTCCTCCAGGTTTAAAATTATACTAATGAAATTATCATCTCGGAATTTAGCAGCACAATTTGTTTACTACTATTCTTTAAGTTCAAAATATATAAAATAAAATAAAATATCATGCACATAAAATTAAAATTTGTAAATAAAATGTTTTCTGAATGTTTTGTGCTAATCAAGCAATGTAGACTCTCGTCCTTTGGGGTGTCTTGTCACGTCTTCAATTTATATGTCGAATGAAGCTTTTCGATTATTCTCGAGTCTTACGTGCTATACAAAATTGCACCCAAGCGATTTTCCAGGTAGACGACGATCGTCGTAGTTTCTACTATATGCGACGACGCGACGTTCATCACCCCTTGTACTTAATTAAACTTTCCTCCAAGAATCATGGTTTGCCAGCATGGCAAAAAAATTTTTTTTTCTTACCTATCGTCGCAGTCTAGTTACTAATTAAGTTGGCGAATGTCTTCACTTCGATAACGAAAAGTAGTCTTTTCAAACAACAAACTTTAATTTACATCTCTTTTGGATTTTCGCAAGTTCAATAGCACTTTTCTTTTATTTTTTTATCTTTTAAGTTTCGTAATTAAAGAGAGCTTCGTAATCGTACTCAAAAGTATATATACGAAAATGCAAATTTATTTCATGCAAATTTATTTAATAAAATATCTAAAATTTAAGTTTCCAATCTTGATCAATTAGAAAAGTTTTAATCTACTTAATTATAAAGTTTAGGTACTAATTATATTTTGTATCGATCAATGTTCATTTAGTGTGAATAATCTGTTTTTTTAATTATGTACACTGAAAAAAGGGTTTGGTATTGACAACTAAACGTTTGGTATAATAAGAGTAAAATTTGAATAAAAAATGAAACCATATACGAACCTGATTTGAATCTTGGGAATTCGGAACATCAGGACTGACCGACCGGCGGCCGTAGATGTTCATTAATGTTTGGTTTAAGGGGAAAGCTGAAACCGGGCCACCCTGAAAAGAAATTTAAATTTTAGTTAAAAATAACATTTTTCATTTCGAAACATAAATTCAGGGGTCGATTATGTAATTTCATTTATCACTGTGAAACGAAAAGTGAAATTACACAATCTCCATTGAAGTTATAAATGTAAATAATTATTAATATATTCGTTATATAATAATTAAAAATCAATCAATCTTTGTGTTGTGCACACAAAATTATGTGGATTAATTAATATCCTTATTAGCAGCCTTGGATTTATATAGGTACACACAAGGTTCATTAAGAGAAAAGCAAGTTGCTTTCTAATGCCAGTGATTTCTCCACAGTTCTTGACTAAATCTTGACAAATGCATAGAGGCGTACGATTGAAGTTGAGAGACTTGGTGTACGAATTATGGATGGAGTGGTAGAAGCATTCTCGAGATCATCAGCCTCGATTTGCTCGTTTCAAAGTACGCGCCTCAAACGGAAGCTTCGTCTCTCTCTATATAAACTCTCTCTCAGCTTTGCATCGACCTACTTCCGGTTTGATTTCAAACTTCAAACCACTCTAGTAACAGGATAAGTGACTGTGTAAACATTGTGCAAAATCGAACTCAATATATATTTACTCTCTAGCAAAAAACAATTTTCATTTAAATTTCCAAAAATATTTTTTTGCTTTTCTAAAAATTTCTATTTTTTTTATATCGCAATATTTTTGGATATTATATATAAATGAAAGAGGAAAAGATTTTTAACGAAATTTATTGTGTTAACAAATTCCCTAACAAAAGTTATCTTGACGAAGATAGGAGACAGGGAATAACAGACGAGAAGATGAATTTCTACTTTGGTAACAAGAAAGCATATATATATCTACAATATATTGTTGACTTTAACTCTCTGATGCTTGACTGAATACTCAAACCGTGTGGTTGTATATATATATATAAACTTACCAGGTGAAGCCACAACCCTACTTTATTATTCAGAATCCACTTTACAAATTTTCAAATATTTAAACTTTCTATAACCATCTATTTACGAAAATACAAACAATTTTTTTTTATTTTATTCATTTAGGAACATGAATTTTTTTTATTAACATATAAATACAAAGAAAATGTTTTTGATTCTGTCTAGAACATTTTACATTTCAATCGACATGAGCAGAGAAATAATTACTTTTATATTGCGTGTATTTCACGTCAGTTGAAATAGGAAGTAACGTGAAGTTTAATTCTCACATGATTACACAGTCGAGCTTGTGTTTGCACTTAACTTGTTTTACATGTATCACACAGTTTCTAAACAAAATGGTTCATATATGAGATTCATCAAAAAAAAAGAAAAAAAATAGTTTTGAAACTGTTGTTCAATTTAAAACCGTGTGTGATAAACATATTATTAGAAGTGAGATAAATTTTAATTGTTTTTACCAATTTTTAAAAATTAATTATTTTATTTTATTTTACTTATTTTTTTGTGATATAGCTAAATGAGATTAATGAGAGGAAAATAAATTTGGCCATTTTGATTTTTTCCATTGACTGAACTAGAGTTGGCTTATCGAATACAAATTCAAGCCATAGAAGATTTTTCTAGGAGCGTGGAACTCAATTTTGTTTTTGCAGCTCTCTATCGCTAGTCGATTCCGGCTTGAGGAGGACCAGTAAGAGAAAGAGTGCTTTTGAGAGTAGTTTGGAGGTGAAACCGGTGTCTGAGGAGAAAGAAAGGGAAAAAGGAAACGGATACTTCCAACCGTTTCTTGGGTGCATTGCGGTACCAAAGCACGTACCCCATTCCCTAGAAGCAATGAGCGTATATCTCGATAGGTAACTTGGAAAGAAAAGCCATGGTATAAACCTGCACCTCTGGACAGAGATATTAGGTACGATCACTGGACATGGGAGAAATTCTTCTTTTGGAAAGAAAGAGAGTGAGGATTTTCCTTTAGACGTACTATTCAAAAATTTTCTCTACATTTGGATAATTATTTTATTTTTTTGCCAAAAGTATGAAAATATTAAAAAAAAGATTCTCTAAACAAGATGGTTACAATTTTTTTTTTGCGCAAGCTAGAAAAGAAACTTAATGACGCAAATTTTATGATAAAAAGTTGGAGGAGTAAAAAAGCATTAGGAAAAGTGGAGACCTCGATAATGGTGAAGATACACCTCGTTGATTTTGAATTATTATTATTATTAGTGGTAGTAGTAATAGTGAGAAACTTAAGAAGAAAAAAAAGAATCCTGGGATATATAAGAAACACAGTATAGATAACGTAAAATAACGATCTTATTATGAAACCAACAGCTGGTTCCAAGGTATATTAGAAATTCGATATTTATGTGTGCTTTTCTTAAGTTTCCAGTAGAATGAACTGCTCTTGTTAGACTTGCGGTTTTCCAAAGCAAAGGCATTGTTATACCCTTCCTATACTTCGTCGATAGCCCCACACACAAACATATACCACTGTATTATGTATGAACTGCGAAGGGAGCTGTTAAGCTTCTAATGGCTGACCATCCCAATATTTTATGAGCCCAATATGCCAATTTTGCGCCTCTAGTCGTTGGAAGAAGGAAAAAAACGACGACGATAAAGAAAAAATAATATTTTTGATAACAATTTTGTCTTGATATTATTTCGACTTTAAGATCCTGTGAAATAATTATTGCAACAATATTTTAAATGGATTAATACAAAGCCAAACAACAATTAATATTTTGAGTAAAAAAAAATTGAGTAGTGTGGTTGGCTCTCAGAGGAAAAGTGGGAGGGAGAATAAGCTTCTCATTGGCTTCAAGGACGAAAGTCCCCACTATATAGACATATAAAAGTCAATTATCCCTTTCTTTTAATTCTTGTAAACGTAAATTATTTACCTCTTCTACAAAGTGTCGTATTTTTAATTTTTGTATTTTGCTTATTCCACTTTATATAAATAATACTCTTATAGCGCAAATTATGTTGGCTACGAATATAATCCACTCTGATTAAGTTTGCGAACAACGTATATATATATGTGGTTTGTCCATTCTATTTATTAAGCATTAACTCATTCAGGCAAAGATGATTGGATTTTCCTATACGTTTACACACAAGGGGGATAAGCAAAATCCAAAATGAACTTTTTTTCATTAGTTGAAATTCAAAAAAAATTATTCTCGTTTTCTCTTAGTCATTATAAAGTTTTATAAATACAAATTATGTTTTGCTTCAAATAACTGTCTAAATCTGAATCTAATGGGACTGTTCACAAAATACGTAACGCTTTCAGGGGGAGGGGGTCAAGCTATTTGTTACTAGTAAAATAACTAATTATTTGTAAAAAGTTACGAATTTTCAGTTGAAAAATAACTGAAAAAATAGTCCCGAAATTTCAGTTATTTGTACCTAACGTAAAAGTTAAAATTTTTTTTGATGTTTCTTTATTTTTTGCACATAAAGAGAACATATGGTAATTGGAATATTAAAAGGTTCAATTTTCCTGTTTCTCTTTTCTGACGCTTCTAATATTCTTCGTGATCGGGTAATATTCAGATTATCACATTTTCTGAAAATGGCTTCAGCAGCAGCTTCCGTTCAAAGTCCCATTGATTGAAGCTGACGCCAAGCGGACGATGTAGGCTGAGAGTGAGAGAGAGATTCAGGACAAGAGCTTCCGGTGCTCTTTGCATAATATCGTTGAAGCTAACGTCACATGACTTTGTCATCGTTGTCTATGTATACTTAGCGCGTGTGTGTTACACTAAGCGACCACAAGGACTTATCGTTACAAAAGTAAACTAAATATCTTGATCAAAATTAATTATTAAAAATTTGTTTATAAAAATTGAAAACTTTTTGTCTGATTCGTTAAAAATTATAAAAATATATTTTAATGAATTTTTTTTTCTTTTTATTTAATAATTATTGTAATGTATAAAAGTCGTTAAAAAAATGAATTAACGATTATTACATGTGTAAAATTTTGCCTTATAGTACAAAAGTCGTAAAGTATTTTATTTAGAGATGTTATATAATGCTTGCAACATTGAGCATCATAAAAAGTGCATCATCTCTTTCATTAAAATAATAAAACGAGAATTTTGCCTTGTATTTAATTTACAATGCAATAGCACTTTCTACCTCAGTTCCACCTCCCTACTTTCTTTCTACTTTCTTCACTGCAAACGTATAAATTTTGTTTAATTGAAATTTTCGAGTTTTATGTAATTTAATTACTGAAATGTTGTTATATACATTTTTAAAATATTACAATGAAAAAAAATTTATTTGATACTACTAATTAAATAGCAAAGATTTGAAAAGTCAGACGAAATGTAAATTGACTTTTACTACTGATTTTTTAAAACTAATTTGATCTACTAATAAAATTACAAAAAATGATCAAAAGATTATTTATATGTATATTTTTTTCTTGGCATAATCAAACGATTGCATAAAATATTTATATTAATTTGATACATAAATGTAGCCTTCTTAAGCGAAGGCACCTCCTAAAACTGATAATACGTTTACGAGGTAAACTTCGTGTGTAGGACAATGTTATCGCCATAAAGTGGACGCACGAATAGTATGGGTAACCGGTGTCCAGAAAGTGAATTTAGCTTAAGTGCATCGCAAGTACTGCGGGAGATATATATAGTGTGTGCTACTTGGTCTCAAAGGGTTATGGAGTGTTCAGGTCATGTCACCATAGATTATGCTAGTCAACAACAGCAATATAGTATATGTGGTACATTTATAAAATACCCTACCTACATATCACCACTATTATTTATTTATATTTAATCACAGGTTTACAAGAAAAGTGAATAAAAAATGCCCTTTAGTGCAAAAGCACATTATTATTACTATAAATATTATGAAAATAAATTTCGTTTTTTTATTGTTGGATAGTAAATATTATAATTCTGGGAAAAAAAAGGTTATTAACACTTGAATAGGTTATATATGATTATGAGATGATGAAATATGAAAAAATCATTTACGAATAATAATTGGAATTTTAAAATTG